CTTTTTTCAACTATTATGGGCTCTCTTTCTAATTTTTTGGAGCTCTCTTTCCAATTTTAATTGTTTTTTTTTCCAAACTTTTTTGGGCTTTTTTTCCAATTATATCCCCCCCCCCCCCCCCCCCCCCACCTTTGACAAATCAGTGCCCCCTTATTCAGCACTTCTACCCAATGCTTCATAGACATACCACTGGATTTCACTGAACAGGAGATGTATTTGCCTAGAGACTACTTAACTATATTAAAAAGCATTAGAAAAATAACATAAATTTTTAAATGAAAAGTTAACAGTCTTTAATGGTAGAATGATTATTTTAATGGGTTTTTCTAGTGTAGAAACTACATGCACTAAATTACACGCAACACAGTTCTTTAACTTAGAGAAAAACTTTTAAATTAAATTAGGTAAAAATTAGAGAAGAGGAAACCAGCTTGTACAGGACTAATGTATTTCTTAAAAACAAAAATTTAATTTGAAAAAAACAGGGTTAATTGAAGAATCTTATAAATCAAAGTTGAAAGAACAAAAATTGAAAGTTGCATTTAGTTAAGTTAAAAGCATTCACAGGATATTTCCTTGCAATTCTTTTTGTGTTCTCCCTTTCCTCACCCTCTACCATGATAAATCAAACCCAGATAGTGTGTGCAATTCTTTTTGTGTTCTCCCTTTCCTCACCCTCTACCATGATAAATCAAACCCAGATAGTGTGTGCAATTCTTTTTGTGTTCTCCCTTTCCTCACCCTCTACCATGATAAATCAAACCCAGATAGTGTGTGCAATTCTTTTTGTGTTCTCCCTTTCCTTACCCTCTACCATGATAAATCAAACCCAGATAGTGTGTGCAATTCTTTTTGTGTTCTCCCTTTCCTTACCCTCTACCATGATAAATCAAACCCAGATAGTGTGTGCAATTCTTTTTGTGTTCTCCCTTTCCTTACCCTCTACCATGATAAATCAAACCCAGATAGTGTGTGCAATTCTTTTTGTGTTCTCCCTTTCCTCACCCTCTACCATGATAAATCAAACCCAGATAGTGTGTGCAATTCTTTTTGTGTTCTCCCTTTCCTCACCCTCTACCATGATAAATCAAACCCAGATAGTGTGTGCAATTCTTTTTGTGTTTTAAAGCTGTGAAATTTAGATTAAATCTTAAAGATGTAGTACTTCAATTTTGCTAATGAAATGAATTGAAACTCTTTTGTACTTTATTGGGCTAATGAATTGAAACTCTAATGTACTTTATTGGGCTAATGAATTGAAACTCTAATGTACTTTATTTGGCTAAGTAATTGAATAAAACTATTTCTTACTCTTTGAGATAATGTTATGAATATAAGCTTGTTTATGCCTATTTAATTTTTGTCAAGGTAATGAAATGAATTTAAACTATAAGTATTTGGTTGTGCTTTATTGAACCAAATGAAATGAAATTAAACTGTTTGAATGAATCAATTTAACTCTTATGTACTTTTTTGGGTTAATGAACTTAATTTAAAATATTTTGTAACTTATTGGGCTAATGAAATGAATTTAAACTTTTATCTGTATTTGATTGCTTTTGAACCCGTTACGTGCTTAATTGGGATATTGAAGACAGTATTTTAGGATATTAACGAGCCAACAAGGTTATTAATTGCTGAAGGGAGTTTAATATAGTACTAATTGACCCAATAACTGATCAATATCCACCAGACACAGTAATTAGTCTTAAATTATATAAACAAAGATGTTTAACATTGATATAGTGAAAAACAATAGATGTGTATATAAGACTGAATATTTAATATGTAGTACAGTATGATACTTTGTGATGCCGTAATGGCTCCGTGAGTTAGACACTTACTCAATAACCTTTAATAGCTAGCTGATTTTTCAACCCAGTTTCCCCCTGTCAGTGATGCAGGTCAGAGGGAATGACATGGAAAATACGTCTAGTAGTTCATACAAAACATTAACTAAGACCTCGTGCAATACAGACACTATAAAGATCCCTTGACAACAGAATATCACAAAAATAGTAAACTAATGTCAATGTTCTGGCTTATTTTCCCTCATTGAACACTGCATCTGGTTGCCAACTTTACAAGCCTAATCATATTTGCACTATCGGTCCTCAGCTAAGATTATAATATGACTGTTTATATTCATCTAGTACTATAGGAACTAGGTTACTAGTTTACTTACAAATGTCAGAAGAAATAGGTGATATATTCTGGCATAATATTACCTTACTAAACTTAAACTATGGAATATGTGTATATTACCATACTAAACTATAATATATTACTAAACTATAATATATTACTAAACTATAATATATTACTAAACTATAATATATTACTAAACTATAATATATTACTAAACAATAATATATTACTAAACTATAATATATTACTAAACTATAATATATTACTAAACTATAATATATAACTAAACTATAATATATTACTAAACTATAATATATTACTAAACTATGGAATATGTGTATATTACCATACTAAACTATAATATATTACTAAACTATAATATATTACTAAACTATAATATATTACCAAACAATAATATATTACTAAACTATAATATATTACTAAACTATAATATATTACTAAACTATAATATATTACTAAACTATAATATATTACTAAACTATAATATATTACTAAACTATAATATATTACTAAACTATGGAATATGTGTATATTACCATACTAAACTATAATATATTACTAAACTATAATATATTACTAAACTATAATATATTACTAAACTATAATATATTACTAAACTATAATATATTACTAAACTATGGAATATGTGTATATTACCATACTAAACTATAATATATTACTAAACTATAATATATTACTAAACTATAATATATTACTAAACTATAATATATTACTAAACTATGGAATATGTGTATATTACCATACTAAACTATAATATATTACTAAACTATAATATATTACTAAACAATAATATATTACTAAACTATAATATATTACTAAACTATAATATATTACTAAACTATAATATATTACTAAACTATAATATATTACTAAACTATAATATATTACTAAACTATAATATATTACTAAACTATAATATATCACTAAACTATAATATATTACTAAACTATAATATATTACTAAACTATAATATATTACTAAACTATAATATATTACTAAACTATAATATATTACTAAACTATAATATATTACTAAACTATAATATATTACTAAACAATGGAATATGTGATATCATAAAGCATGTTTTTACTCTTTGATACTACTTTTAGACTTCATGGAAGAAATTCTGATCAGCGAATATTTAGATGGTATATCTCATTAACATTAAATTTTTTTATAAATTCTGTTACGGTTACGGACTCCCATCCTGTTCTTTAAATTATTTAACTTATAGAAAGTAAAGTTATATTTTAACGAAGGAGAGAGATGATATCATACTGTAGGTTGAACCTGGCTAATTACACTCTTCCCTGCTATTTTAACTTCTTTCTTAAATTTAATACTTTAAAAATGGCAGAAGATCTAGGGCAATTGGTTAAGGTATCTTTTCTCATAAATTTCTGAATTTATTTATAGGATGGGATTGAAATGAGAATAGTTATTTATTATTTAAGAAAATCTGAAAAAAAAATATTACTTTTAGTGCTTTTGGATCCTACTCTGTAAGAAAAATTCTGATGCCACAACCAATGCTTATGAAAGTCAGCCTGGTATTGTCTGTCCACCCCTGTCATTTATTTTCAAGGATATTATAATTCCTCTCTATTTCAGGTTCACCTCTGTGAAGATGACAGGGAAAATTATCATCATAATGAAGAAGACAGAACAGAAGATACGTTTTTAATTCGAGTGAAATCAAACGACAAGGCCTGGAATATCAGACGGACATTCAGTAATTTTCGTAGCCTTGATAAACAGTTACATCGGTGTATATTTGATCGGAAATTCAGTCAGTTGGTAGAATTACAGAGGCAAGATGAAGAGAAGGAAAATACGGTAAGTTCATTAGAAAATATTCACAACTGAGCTCAGTATGTGAACTCTCTAAAAAAGTTGCCCAGTTTTAAGCTTATTGTTCATTGCCAAGTTTGAGTTGATGATATGGGAGCCGTGGTGGCTCAGTGATGAGCGTTTGCTAGCTAAGCTGAAGGTCTGGGGTCTAGGACAGGAGGAGATAATGCCATAGGATTTTTATACCAGGCTTCCAGTCAATGATGTAGGTTGAAGGACAATTATCCGAGGCCCTGTGTGCTGTGAATTTTAAAGATCCCTCAAAAAACAAAAATCCTTTGTTCACAGAGCTGTATCATATTGAATCTATATATACATTACAAGAGTTTGTTGATAGATTAATGGAATATTTGTGGATTAAAGAGATATTTTTGCAGATCAATAGTATCAAGTATAGCCTTAAAGTTTATTGAAAACAAATTGGCTGACTGATAAAATAAAATCATAAAATCATTAGATAACAAATTACTTTCCGTTTAAATTTATTCACGTTGACTACAAATTCTTCCATCAACCTTTTACCAGCAATAATTCGAGAAACTGATAGAACAATAATTGCACAAAAAATCTTCAGGCAGCCGTCAATTGACTATTATTTGCATATGATTAACGTAAACAGGAGAGTTCCGATATTTCTGCATGATGGCGTTATTGTAGCATCGCAGCATGATTCATCCCGCACTAAATGATAAAAACATATTTGACAGATAAATAGAGAATACTAGAAAATTGTTTCTTGTGTTACACCATGTAGAATAAATACAAGACAAATTTCTCATCAAATATTGGAATTAGGTAGATTGTGTGCCTGGAATAAGGTTGGTTTGATTTGCCAGCTGGTTGAGTTATATTCTTTTGGGACATTTTATATACCCACATGATTTTTGGTGACGTATCTTTACTCTGCTTAAGAATATACTGCAGCCTACGATTGTTAGTAGCATATTTGGACATTTGACTCAAACTTTGAATAATAATTTAATGATGGTACTAGACATTGTGGCCAATCATACCAACCTTTAACAACATGATCTAGTCAAATGAACTGCCTATAGTTGGTAATAAGAGATTTTATAGGCAACATATTAATACAATGTTTTACATGGAAAATACAATGCTTAAAGGCCATGGTTCACCATATTTGATAGGTTGATTTTAGTCTTGAATATTTGTAATGTCTTTAGAAGTACAAGAACTGTTTGAAAATCGCTTAATTAACTCAAATGTGCTTTAAACTTTCACTTTCTTTTTCTTAAAAGTATATATGTCTATGTATATCTATATATGTTGGAGTCTCAAGAAAAGACGAGTCGTAATTTTAACTTTCTAACGTAGATAATTCAAGACACGCATGGATTTGAATCTCAAATTTACAAATTTACGCTATTCAGATTCATAAGCCTGTATGATGCATGAAAGGGATTTAAAACTCTATTCGTTTACTGATCAGCTTAGCTGATTAATTCTAGTTTCTGAAACCAAGGTAAGATTGACTTCCAAATATGGTGAATCTGTCCCTTTAAAGTCAATAAATGTGGTCTGTAGGAATCAGCTGGTACAAATCCTCTCTGGCATTCCGTCATTGGTTGAGTCATGCTTGTGATGATCAATCCTGTATCACGGTGCCAAGTCTTGTAATTACAGGATGCAGTCTTAGAATATTCAGGAATGGTATTTTTGAGCAAGTATTCTGAAAGAAGTGTGTTTATTCTATAATAATGTCAGGTGTTTGTAATATGTGTCTAAGGATATTAAGGCAGGGTTTGTTTTTGTAATGAATTTTGAATATGTGGAAATTTAAAAAAAACCTAGTTTTTCTTTGGGAATTTTCATAAAGACAATATTTAGTGATGTAGTAATTAGTGAATTATTTTGACTTCAAAAAAGAAAGAAAGGAAACTGTAATAGTTTTGTTCAGTGAAATAAGTAATAAATATCTAATATTATTCATGTCTAGCTATTCCATTTTGACATTTTCCTCTTTGAGTTATGGAATAAGACTCAGTAGGATCATTACATATCTAACAGAATTGTGAAAATTATACAATACATTAACAATGAACAAAGGTTTTATCCTGAAGCTATATTTGAACAATATTAAACCTGTGTTAAGTATTATAGAAGATTGACTCGCCTATAGAAGCACTGGCCAAGGTCATAAGAGAATATACTTCTTTTACATCAGTTATAAGATATTGGAAATGAATCAAATTATAAATAGAGTTGACCAAAAACTAGGCTAAACTAAAATATTATAATATTAAAAAAACTATTAAATTAAGAAAGCTAAATCGGTTGAAAATTTGATTAAAAAAAAAATGTTGGCGGGTTTGAAAAAGTAGAAAACATAGGGCACTGGCATCTGAATTTTTCTTACCTTAAGGATGATACGAGCCTATGACACCTAATTAGCTAGCAGACGATGATCCAACTCACTTCTGACCGAGATATTCCACTGTGTTCAACTGAAATCTTATCAATATTGAAATAAAATAACTATTTTGTTAACGATTTAGAAAAATATTAAACAGTTGATACTCAGACATCATTGGGAAGCACTGGCCCTGGTTCAGAAATTTCCTGATCTTGAGAAGGATTCAAACCCAACAATCAACAATCCAACTTACCAATGACTGACCTATTTCAATATTGATGTTGTGAAATAAAAGACTATTTTGTACTGGAAATAATTTTATTACAGAGGAAGCCGGAAGCTGAAATACTAGTAGAATTATTGATATAAAAAACTATTTTGTCAAAGGATTATTTTCCGTCTGAATAAAAATTTCGGATATTGATATTTTGATTCCTGGAGGATTATTCATGGTACCATTCATTCAAATCATGGATTTATTTTTTAGGATCTGCGACGTTTGTTACGGAGATACTTGGAAAGATTTTCTTACTTGGCGGGGAGCATGATCAACTGTGGTTCCGTTTTAAATTGGTTAGAGGTAAGTTGATTTTTTTAGGGGTTGTCCTAAGGGTTAGGGATTTGAGAATGGGGTTTAGTGGAGTTTGGGTTGTCCCCAGGGCTGGGGATAGAGTATGGAGAATGGGGTTTAGTAGAGAATGAGCTTTCAGGTGTTTGCAGTGGGTATTGTTAGGGGCGGGGAAATAGTTTAAGGAATGTGGTTTTGGGTTGTGGGTTGCAGAGTGTTGTCAGGGCGTGGTCGGTGTGACCAGTAATCTCTTAATAAACCAATTTAATTGTCCGACAGTGTTTTGTGGCTTATAGACTTGACCGGTTGTTAGCTTAAGAAGTTTGGTAAATTATGAATTTTTTTTGGGGAACGTCACAGACATATGCTTGATGTTTGACAGATCATAATGACCATTGGTTACAGGAGCTCAATACTCCATTATAGCACTGTTTGTTTTAATGTCAAAACTGATTGCATGAATAATCACAAAGACATTTTCTGCAGTTTTAACTGATTTTCAAAATTATTTGGTTTTAAATTTCAGTTAAACCCAGAGGTATTTTAACTTTGAACAGAAACTTTAACTTTGATATATAAAATCATTCCTTCATTTCTGCTTTGATTAAATCATGGCAATTCATTTTCAAAGCTGGATATACTGTGCCAGACACCCCTCAACTTACTATTGAACTCTTCCACACATGCATACTCTATATTACTATGAACTGTAGATGTATTATTGGGAAAGCTCATTAATGAAATAAGGGGTGTTTATATCCAGCCTTGTTCATTTCAGATCATTTCTAACCTGGGTCTTATCTAAGGGTTATTGTAACAATGATATAATCTTAAATCAAAGGTCAGGGGTCAGGCAAGATGAGGTGTTATCCCTTCAACAATTTCATCCAGGGAAAATGTTGAAATTTGGCAAATTGAAAAGTGTACTTAATGAAGATTCTGGGAAAAGCTAACCCCCAATTCAAATAAAGCTGTCCATAAGTGGATTGCTTGTCCTGGACCTGTTTCAGAGGGGTGAGAGAGCTCTGGTCAATTTAATGATGGTTTAATTTTGATAGATGCTTCATCAATGTCAGGGTATGCTTACATAGTTAGAACACTAATTATAATAATTACAAATATATTATAGAAACCATTTTAAATATCATTTGAATTTTAATATTTCTAACAAAACAGATTGTTTTTTGTTCAAAAGTGGGTTTTAGAATGGGGAGGATGGTTTTTAACAAAAAGTTCTTCTTTTTTAATCAAAATAGTTAATTGCCTAGATACAGATTTTATGCTGCTTAATCATATTTTTACTGGAAACAAGCAAGACTTGTAAATGCATACCTTTTGGCATTTGCATTTCTGTCAGATGTCTGTGGTTCCTGTAATTATAGAAATTATACTGGATATCACGTCTGCAGCTTTATTTGAATAGAATTGCAGGAACTACAGACGTCTGAATAAAAATTGGATGGGCGCAAATTGCTGCTATCACAGCTTCCTGGTACACATTAAGAATTAAGAAAACCTCTATACAGTCCCTTTAAGTTTTCATTTAATTCATCCATCTATAAATATATTAATTTACATTATAGAGCAACATCATTTCTATATATCTATCTATATATACCATCTGAAATAACCCCTATCTACCAGTTAGTTTAATATAAACTTTCATTATTTTGAATCAAATCTATGATTAAAGGAAGGAGTAGTATATCAATAATAGTGTTTTATTTTCTGAAGTGTATAATGTCAAGATTATGCATAAAGTTCTTTGATATTAACAGAATGGGCCTTAAGATATGAATAACTTTTACAATACTGATAAAGGAATCTTTCCAGATACTAATAGAATTTTGTCAAAGCGAATTTCTTTAAAAGATTTGTTTTTTTTTTCTCCATTACAGTTGGATAACCGTGGCAACCGTTTATTGGCAGTGGATGATTCTGGTATCAATACGCCTGCAATAGCCGCAGCACACGCTATCAAACGTTATAACTCACAAGCAGTAGATGAAATATCTTTGGAGGTAAGAAATAGTTCCCATTTTCTCATGCGTCTGCTAGCTATAGACCATCTTCACAATGTCAAGCTATTACGGACTGTGTCTAATACTTTGACTGCTACAGGCTCTTTCTTGTATTGCCAAAGTTAGTAAATGCAGCAATTTGATAGGATTGTACGATACAGAATACAGCCAATCAGAGCCCTGTATAATGTCTGTAAACCATAAGCCATAATATTTGCAGTCTGTATGTCAATTTTCATAGTCTTTCACTTATCTTGCTTTTGCCCTCATTGCACACTGCATTACATTACTCACCTTCATCAGCTCAGCCAGGTGCAGGAAGGAAGGATGTAAAACCCCGTTTCATTTTATGTTTAAACCTGGATGTAATTTTGTAGGTAGGAGATATAGTTAGTGTTATTGATATGCCACCACCTGAAGATACAATATGGTGGAGAGGAAAACGAGGGTTTGAGGTAAGATATAATTCTCTATGAAGGGATAAGATCTGAGTTTAGCTCTTCAATAGAAAATAAATGAGAAAGCAAAATTGATGATACTGGGTGTTTCAGAAAAAGAGCTTGCATTTATTCGGTCAGATGAAACCAAGGCCACGGGTGCTATAGGCTGTGCATATTAAAGATCCCTTGATAGTTGGAAATCAAAAAAGAGCCAGCTTGTACACTGCATGGTGTCGACTGTCCCATCACGAGCAGAAGAGTAAGACATAAAACTCCATTCATTTCATTTCATTTCCAAACATCAAAACTTATTATTCCTGTTATCAGGTGGGATTTTTTCCAAGTGAATGTGTGGAGATAATTGGAGAGAAAGTTCCAACTTCCATGGACAATCAGATTCCAGAATATATCTGTGAGTGAAAGCATGGAAGTTCCGATTGGTGCATCTGGAATGGTTGTTGGCATGGTTTCGTAGTTTGATAAAGGCTACAGGCATACAAGCTGATCATTCTTGCTTTTGATGTTTTCTGTTAAACCTTCAAATAAATTGGCGAGCTCATCTAGTGCTTCTGATTTGTGTTTCGGACATAAATCTCTTACCAGGACACCCAGTTTTGGTATTTGGGATGAATTTCCATATCAGTTTAAGATCCTTGTATGCCTGTATTGATAGCATGGTTTGGGTGGCAAGTGTGCTTGTATGATGTCTGGCGAGTGCCAGGCTAATGCCAGAAAGCTGTAACATTTTACAATATGCCTAATATGAAAGAATTTTTTGAGAATCTTGCAGGGTTTGAGTCTAAATCTTGAAGGGATTGTACAGTGGTTTTCTAAACTTTTATGTGTATCTGGTAGCATTAATATACACCATTTCAATTTTCAGTCAGACGTCTGTTGTTCCTTCAATTCCACTAAAACTAAGCATTTTATGAAGTTTATAATATTAGCCTCTTTTGTATGTTATAAACTGGTTAGTTTAAGTGGAATTGCAAGACCAACAGACGTCTGACTGAAAATTGGAATGGTGCAAAACGATGCTATCAGTGTCCCGATACACATAAAAGTTTAGAAAAAACTCTTTAAATCAGAGAAACCTGAAATTCTATCCTGTAAGATTCCACTTAATGAGTAACTAACATCGTTAACAGCATGGTGTTTTTGCATTTTGCCTCTATGTTCCACAGGTGGGTTTTTTCCCTGGTGAATGTGTGGAGGTTATAGGGGATAAAGTACCCCATTCCATGGCAACTCGAATACTACGGGGGGCTGCAACACGGAAACCTTGTAAGTATAGCATGTTTTATTTCTTGTGCATTTGAAATTAACGTAGAATTTGGTGGGAGTTGGTTTTTAACTGCATTTTATTGAATAATGTTTGAAATTACTGTTCTGTAGTACAATCAAGCCGTTAAATTTATATATTTGTTTACAATATCAGTTGAATGATGATATAGATAGTATTTTTAAGACTTATTAACACTATTTAAAATATAGTCTGCTGTCAATAGATCTAATTCACGTCGTGTTTTTAAACCAGCAAGGTTCATGATGCAAATTACTTTATCTTTTGAAAAGATAGGGATGTCTTATGAAGGAATTGTCTATCAGACGACAATAAGCACCCAATCAACAGCCAGAAAAGAGCCTTAAAACTGCCCTTGCTCAGAAATGGTTGAAAGTAAACTTCATCTGAAAGCATCCTTAAATAACTTATTGACGTTAAATATGCTGATATAGAAACAAAGTTAACATGTAAAATACAGACTGCTTTGTCAACTCAAGAGATCTGAAAAAACCTTTGTTGGACTTGCTTTGATGTTGTATTAGGCTATAGAACCACTGTAATATATATAAAATACAGACTGCTGTAGGGCAATAATCTCTGATGTAAAATACAATATTATAAATATCAATCTATTATTACTCTCTATTATAAAAAATAGAAAAATATCACAGTTGACATTTGAGATTAATAAAATAGCTGGAGTAATCATAGCACAGAAAATAGTTATATAGTTTAAAGAGATTGTAAAGAGATTTTCTAAAGTTTGTATGTGTATCAGGGACATTGATAGCATCAATTTAAAAACAGATGTCTGTGGTTCCTGCAATTCCACAAAAACTGAGTGTTTGATGACGTCACTAATTTCAAAATATGCTTATCACATAAGTCCCTTTGTAATTGGAATGGTGTTAATGGATGCTTTCAATCTCCCAAATACACCTACAATTTTTAGAAAACCTCTTTACAATCTTTTTAATAAAATAGCATGTAATTCCAGAAAATAGTGAAAAATTTGACAAAGTAACAGTCTGATCAAAATGCAGTTCTGCATGTTTTGTTTCTTGTTTTTTCTATGGGTTTTTCGAGTGCGGACTGTAGCAATGTTGGTAAGAGTGTTAGAATTTGACACCATTTTCTAAACTACTTCAAACAAATGATGGTTGTGGGTTTTAACTTAGGTTAGCGTGTAATAGTCTGTGACCTCGATTAGGTCATCGCTTTTGTTGATCCAGCTATAAATGAGTAGTGATAATTCAGGGAAGATCAATACTAAGTGTTTTGGCCAAGGACTAGCAGGTGGTAGAAAGGATCCTTAACTGTGAACCTATGTTGTTATCCTTGTAAAATATAATTTTCTTCCATAAACCATTTGTTATTCCATAGTAAATGAATTCTTAAAAATATGTAATCTGGCAACTCTTTTTATAAAGGTCACATGACGTAGGCACTTGTTTAAGATTCTCTATATAATACATAGTTCAGCTCAACTAGTCTATTATTTATAAGGCAGTGGTGTCAAGCTTTTATCATGTTTGATACTTTCATTTCAATTCTGATACATATAGATTAGGGTAAGTGTGGAATGCCCACCATCCAGTGAATGGCCAGTCTTGATTGCTCTGTTCTCATTGACTGTATTGAGCAGAATTATGTCTTGAAAAGGTTTAGAAGCCAACGCAAGAGGAACAGGTTGAGGCATGAAACAAACAGCATTTTCAAAAATATCTAAAGCATAAGAATCAATAATCTAACTACCCCTGCCCTAGGGAATAACAAAGCAAAATCTGTACTTGAATAGAATTTCATTGAAATTGTCTTGTATATCAGTTATATTTAAAACTTTCTGTGTTAACTTATCCAAGCAATATGATTTCGTATCAAGAAAAGGCAAATTTATGAATCCAAAGCCTGTTCTTTTGAACTGTTCATATAGAAACTTCAATGACCGTAAAGTTGAAACTTAGATTATGCATGTAAAGTCATAGGGCAGTCTACATTAACCTTCTAGCAGTTAGTAAGGACTTTTCATTCATAAACCTCAATGACCTTTTAAAGCTTAAGATCATGCTTATAGAATAATAGGGCAGTCTACATCAACCATCAAGTGAACTTCCTGCTAGTTAGTCATATTGAAAGTTCTATTATTCATAGTAATATTACAGTATAATTAAATAGTGTATATTGAATAAATATCAACAGTGGTCTAACTGGTGAAAATTTGTTTTATACTTTTAAAATTGTGAATTGTTCATCATTTCTGGGAAATAACTTGTATTTATCTGATTAGTCATGAAAAGTGATCAGGGTGATTAAAAAACAAGTTTCTATTGAGAGGTAATGATTTACTATTCAACTGTGGGCACAGGCGCAGGCAGTTACATGGAAATTACACACGCTAACGTAGTTTACAACCATTTTGAATCTCTTCCTCAACTTAATAAGTCAAATTTTGAACAAGGCTGCCATGTTTCAACTAAGCCCTCAAATCATATTAAAGCCATTTCTAAATCTTTAAATATGATTTGAGGGCTTAGTTGAAACATGGCAGCCTTTATCAAAATTCGACTTATTAAGTTGAGGAAGAGATTCAAAATGGCTGTAAACTACGTTAGCGTGTGTTATTTCTATGTAAGAACTATACGTAGTTTTGTATGTGGTACTAGGTCACATAGCGTCTATGGAATATTGTGAATAACAAATTTAAATAAACTGTACACAGTGTTTAGAATTTTTAATTCAAAAGTGATCTACCTTAGTCTTAGAAATGGGATTATATTTAGCTAAGCTTATCAAGTAAAGTGTTCACAGTCCGCAGTCGAAATTTTGAGCCTTTTAATCCTATGTGTACGGAATTATCGGCAGTAGAAAGTTAAAATGACAACTCATCTTTTCTTCATACGCCACCATAGAAAAATATATAGTGAAATTTCTAGGTTTATTTGTAGGGAGTATGCGATTTTCATACAGTACCCAAATCAACCTTGAGAATGGCAAACCATGGTCTTTAATGTGAAATGTTTTTTTCTCTACTAGTAATCAGAAGACATGGTAAACTGATGTCGTTTTTACGGACTTTCTTCTCCACCCGGCCAGCACGGAACCAGTTAAAACAGTCTGGTATCGTCAAAGAACGAGTGTTTGGCTGCGATCTTGGTGAACATTTACTCAACTCAGGGCATGATGGTAAGTGTAAGATAAAAATATCAAGTACTAATGATCCAAACAGCAACTTGAAACCCAACATCCAAAACAACATATTGGCAATACATTGGTAGCAGCTAATGATCTTTTCATATGATGAAGTATATCGATTATAAGTATTTCATAATGAAAAGTTGTGTGGCTTATTTTTGCAATTAAAGCAATCGTGGCTCTTTGTGCTGCTCGTTGAACATCTGACATAAACCAAGCTGTAAATGGGTACAGATAATCGAAGAAAGATTAATGCCAAGAGGTTTGCCCAAAGATATGTTTGGCCAAAGGATCCTATGAACCTTCTAAGCTTCTTATCCTAGTAAAAAATGGTTACTTCTTTCAATCTTTCTTTCTGAGAGGAAGTTCCTTTAAAAGAATTAGGATTTTAAACTCTGTTTAATTTTTTTTTGCAGTACCGTTAGTATTAAAATGTTGTGCTGAAGTTATTGAAGAACATGGAATTGTGGAT